TACACCATCGTTCTCACTAGAATGCACTGCTATAGTTCCTGATTACTCTTCAGGCTCACAGTAGTAACAGAAATAGTGGAAGATTGATTCCGAGTAGCTGGAATTAGAGCAGGATATGGAAGGAAGCAAAAGCATTTATAAACATACCAGCTTTGGGCAGGGCAGCAAAGTAAGCTAGGTAGTTTCATGTTATCTCATTTTCACATCAGTTGTGCAATATAGATCTCATCCTTATTTTAAAACAAGAAAACTAAAGCTCAAAAGGATTAAATTACTTTTTAAAAAAGCTACATAGCTTGATCTTGGCACAGTTGACTTTTTTGGGGTACCGGAGATCAGACTCTGGACCCTGCGCTTCTGAGGCAGGCGGCAGCATGGCACAGTTGACTTTTAATTCCTCTAAATCTGAGTTCAGTGTTTTTTTCATTAGGTTACCACTGCCAGAATAGGGAACAATGATAGCAATTTTTACCAAAGATTTTAAATATTGTAGAAGTTTATCATTTATCAGGAAAGGGGAAAAGAAAATCCTTTTTTAAAAAATGAAGCACATAGTATATAATATGTTGCATAATAAATTATGTTCCTGGGAAATGTTTGTAAGACTGATACTGATGACTTCAAAGAGTTTAAGATTTCATTTGTTTTAGGAACAAAAAGGTGTCTTCACCCAAATTTTCAAGTACTTTATTTCTACAGTTAAGAGATTTTACATGTATTCAAGTACATCTTAAAATTAATCCAGAAGTTACTACTAGAATGCCAGTTACTACTAGAAACCCTGCAAGTTGGTTTATTGCACTCTTTTAAAACGTATGTTTAAAAATTAATGAGGTAACTCTAAGTCTTAAAAAACATACATTCCAAATTAATATGTTAATTTTATTTGCATTTCCTAGCCTAGGAAATCAACTTTCTCCTTAAAATCTCCTGGAATAAGGCCAAATACAGGCCGACATGGCTCTACCTCAGGCACTTTACGAGGTCATCCAACACCATTGGAAAGAGAACCATATAAGATAAGCTTTAGTCGGATTGCTGAAACTGAGCTGGAATCAACAGTGTCAGCACCAACCTCTCCAAATACACCATCTACTCCACCAGTTTCTGCCTCTTCAGACCTTAGTGTGTTTTTAGATGTGGACCTCAGTAGTTCCTGTGGTAAGCGTTTGATGTATAAACTGTTTGGTAAAAAGGGATTTTGTGTTTTAGATAATTCTTACCTTTTAAATTAGAGAATTATAGAATCCTTTGCAAGTTCTATCAGTGTGAAAAGTGACATCTAAATAGAAAATTAGTGATTAACACAGGAACAAAGGATCATTTGTACAGTTTATGCATATTATTTTCCATTTTATTCATTCGACAAAGATTAATACTTTTTGCCCTCTTCTGCTCAGAAGGGCGCAATAGGCAGTGAATAAGAAACAAGTAAGTTTTTGTGGGATTGGGATATAAGGGGAACCACTTATACTAAGAAAGTAAAACTATTCAGAGGTACAAGTGCTGAGTTCTTTTCTTTTTCTTTTTTTAATTAACATGACAAAAGATATTGATAAAATCCTGGCCTTAAATTACATGTTACTTTATGCAAACATTAAAGAAATAAAATTGTACATATTTCCCTGACTTTATAAATCATTTTTCTCATTCTGCTAGGCAGCAATAGCATCTTTGCTCCAGTGCTCTTGCCACAATCAAGTAAGTAGAATATGAGTTGATTCTAATAAAATGACTATAAAAATAGTAATTACTCAATTACATTAGTATTTGGATTTAAATTTTTAAAAAGTCATATGAAAAAGATGAAATAGATCTAAAGGAAAATAATTCTTACTCTGTGCAGTTGACCTACGCAAGGGTAATTTTTCCTCTGATATCATTATTTTGTAAATTCCTTAAATTGGTCATATAATGTGTACTTTATCATTAGGAGACTTGCAGAGAGATTTATATGATACAGCCCTATCTTATGGTCCCCTCTTTAAAGGTTTTATTATCTGTGTAGTAATGTCCCCAATTCTAGTGGCTTCAGAACTATGTGGTTTCTGCTTAGGATGATCTTTCTCTGGAAGTTACTATGTAATATACAAAAATGGTTTTGTTTTAAATTTTACAAAGGCTTTTTGGAGGAGCAGAATCTTATTAATCTTAGCTAAATAGTGTAGTATGCCTTTATTTAGCTATCACGTCTACTAGGTAGCAGGCACTGATTTATGTCATAGATACAAAAATAAATACACACTGTAAAACAGCTTACAATGGATAGATAAACCGACAGCCAACTGTGTAACAGATAATACAGTCTGACAAATCTCATAGCACAAGTTGCAATGACATTTTGTTTTATAATACTGTGAATTGTGGTTAAATGAGTCTTTTCCTGCCCCAGGGTCTTTCTTCAGTTCCTGCGGTAGTTTAAATAAATTAAGTGAAGAGCCACTGGTTCCTCCTCCTCTTCCTCCTCGAAAGAAGTTTGATCATGATGCTTCTAATTGCAAGGTAGTCAGCTGACCTAGATTTGCCTTGAACTATTTAAAGTTGCGCATCTTCAGAGTAAAGCTCATTCTCATAAAGAATTTATCAGATATATTTTGGCTACCCTTTCATGTTTTTTAAACATTTGTATTGTTACATTTGAAAAATGCTTTCAGTAATTATTTAGTCTTCATAAAAACCTTTCCTGAAAAAAGAAGGGGTACAAATTCACATTTTCTTTCTGGTACAAATGTTAAGAACTTTAGTATTTGAAAAAGTCTTCAAACTTTCAGCCAGTCTTCTCCAATTTAAAGGTACATGGGAATCACCTGGAAAACTTGTTAAAGGCAGATTGTTGAACCCCATCTCCAGATTTTCTGATTGATTAGTTCTGAAGTGGGGTTCAAGAATTTGCTTTTCTAACAAGTTTCCACAGGTGCTGATGTTGCCGGTCTCTGGATCACACTTTGAGAAGCCACTACTGTAAGTGTTACTGGGGAAAGTAGAAGATAGACACCATGTCCTTTTGACAGCATGTGCTTTCATGTTTATAAACTATGCATTGTTTCATTTACCTGTCATAATTAAAATTCATAAATTTCTGGAATGTGTGAAATAAAGTAACACAAGACAGCCTGAGGCCTCATGTTCTAAGATTTCAGTTGAAACATATATGTATATATTAAACTGAAACCTGAACTAAACTGGAAATAATTTATAAATTTAGTTATCAATTTATTTTGAACCTATGAATTTTTTCACTTAAAAATTGCTTTATAAAGTTTTCAGGAAAATAGTATAATTTAATTATTTTTTCAAGGGAACTATGAAATCTGATGATGACCCTCCTGCTCTTCCACCAAGACAGCCTCCTCCTCCAAAGGTAAAACCCAGAGTTCCTGTTCCTACTGGTGCATTTGATGGGCCTCTGCATAGTCCACCTCCACCACCACCAAGAGATCCTCTTCCCGACACCCCTCCTCCGGTTCCCCTTCGGCCTCCAGAACATTTTATAAACTGTCCATTTAATCTTCAGCCACCTCCACTGGGACATCTTCACAGAGACGTTAGTACGTGTCCAAATTCACCAAGCACTCCTCCTAGCACACCCTCTCCAAGGGTGCCACGTCGTGTGCTCAGTTCTAGTCACAACAGTCTGGCTCATCCTCCAGCTCCCCCTGTTCCTCCACGGCAGAATTCAAGCCCTCACCTACCAAAACTGCCACCAAAGACTTACAAACGGGAGCTTTCGCATCCCCCATTGTACAGACTGCCTTTGTTAGAAAATGCAGAAACTCCTCAATGACCTTAGCCATATGTAGTCATTGACACTGGAATAGTATTTGTAAATTTTTTTTAATTTATTCTAAAAAGGCATAGTATTTTATTACTTTTACAAATAATGCCCTTAAAATGCTACTGATCAAATAAGCTTTTAAGAATTGGGTAAATAAAAATACGAAAGTCCTTCACCATTATCCTCAGGTGATCAGTAGCATTACCTTGTCTTGGATCCTCAGTGCTGCCAAAAGGCCAGTAATAATGAATTTATATTTGCACTGTAGACTCTACTGAAAATATGGTTTAAAGTGACAGTGATTGCACTGAAAGGGGATAGTGCTTTTGTGGAATTTTTCAAATTCAAGTAATAGATGCCTTTTTAAGGTAATGAATTTACACAAGGATAGAGGGTATATGGTGTTACTGATTTTTAAACTTTGACATCTAGTTTTTACATGTAGGAGAATTGTGAATAACACCCACTGTTTTTAAAATCTTTAATGCCATGTCTTAAATACCAGTATTTGCTGCTGAAGACAAAATTCAGAAATAGAATGAAAATAATAGAATGCACTGTTTATTTTGTCAAAATGTAAACAAAGACTACATAATCCAGTTATAGAGGGAAAGGGGCATGTATATCAGATGTGCCTTTTGGTTTTGCAGAGTATGATGTCTTTAGCTAATGAGTTGCCTATTGTTTTGGAAAACAAAGTTAATATGCCATATATGTACAGTTTTGTTTATAATGTATATTTAAAGATAATGCTAATAACCTATATAAATTTAAGTGACTTGAGGCCTATAATACAATCTGCTACTTTACTAATTCATAAATTCAAAGGAAAATTTCTTATGGCATAGGAATCAACTGCCTTGCCTTCAAAATCACTAGTAACTTTCTCTATAAATCTTGTGTTAACTGAAATTTTTAAGGAGTATATTTTTTAGATTGGTAATATTTAAGCCAGCAAATACTTAAAGTTTTATTAAACTTTTTAATCAGAGAAGTAAAGCTTTTATTTGTCATTTGGACGCCTTCCTTCAAAGTGATGAGTGTTGCTGATAGTGCTGTAGCAGCAGTTGTAAAGTAGCCAAAAGCCACGTTGTTTATTTACTGGTCTGTGGCCTTTTTACTGTGCTTTGTATCAGAGTTCTTAACAAGATTAATAAACCACCTGAGTCTTAATTTTTACAAGACTTTTTAAATCTGTGTTTTCATTATAAGGAACAAGGGGAGATTTTTGAGTCCTCTAGGTAGGTATGTATGACTACACACATTTTCACAACGATGTGAATTTTAGGGGGTGGCTGTCATCACTATCAAATTCATGTAGCAAATTTCCAGCAACCATTTTTATCCATTAGGAAAAACAAGGGTCATAGTAGGAAACTTCCTTGGTGGAATCTGAGAAGCTGCCTGATTTAAGACCAGAAACAACTGTGTCAGCTTCCAAGCAAGCACAAACACTCTGAAGTTTGCTTTTTTTCCTTAAAGAGCAGGTATTGGTTGGAAACGTGATTTAAATGGCAGTTCATTAGGTCAAACGTGTGAATTAGCTAGGGGAAGTGCTTAGGGAAGCGCCCTAACAGGAGCACCAGTCTGGCCGCCTTCCGGGCTTTGTTAAAGTGCGCACGCGCTGTAACGCCCAGGCCGCGGTAGGAGGCGGGACACGCAGGCGTGACGTCACCGTGCGCCGTACCCGAGGCCGCGATGGCGTCTCCTCGAGAGTCCTTGGTGGAGGATCCAGAGGAGGATCCGCTGCGGAGCTTTGTGAGAGTTTTGGAGAAACGAGATGGCACGGTGCTACGACTGCAGCAGTATAGCGCCGGCGGCGTGGGTTGCGTTGTCTGGGATGCTGCCATTGTCCTTTCCAAATACCTGGAAACGCCTGGGTTTTCGGGCGACGGGACCCACGCGCTGAGCCGACGGTCGGTGCTGGAGCTGGGCTCGGGCACTGGGGCCGTGGGGCTAATGGCCGCTACGCTTGGGTAAGAGCTGGTGGGAGAGGGCACCGCTTTGCCGGCTTCCAACCCTGTGCCTACGGCTCAGTCGGCATTATTTTATAGGGCTGATGTTGTAGTCACCGATCTTGAGGAACTGCAAGACTTGCTGAAGATGAATATTAGTATGAACAAGCATCTTGTCACTGGTTCTGTTCAAGCCAAGGTACTGAAATGGTTTGTATGGCCTTTCAGCTTGTTTTAAGATAACTTATTTCTAGTTTGCTTTAAATTGCATTTCACTAAAAGCATGATTGTTACGAAGGGGACTTTTTGATCCTTCTACAAATCAAGAATATTTAGAACCACAGTTAAAAGTACTTGTTTGACATTTTTAAGGGGATCAGAAATAGAAGACTTTCCTTCACCAGACTACATACTGATGGCTGACTGCATATACTACGAAGAGGTAAGTGTTAATCAGGGAGTTTCGTGCGTCCTACAGCATGTATTTATTACCATTTTGACGTCTCTGAATTCACGATATTTATAGTACAGTTAGTGAGGTACTGAAGAGAAGACTGAAGTCACTAGGGACCAAATAAATGCACTCATGATTAGCATAAGCCCTTGAAGCATACTGAGAAAGTGCTATATGCACTTTTAGTAGAGGCTTCAGTAAAATTTTTAAAGCATTTTATCATTTGAATCTGTTAGGAAACAAATAATGTCACATTTTTTTCCTTAGCTGTTCCCATAAATGTTAATCATGATTTTGAGAAAGTTGCATTTTCAGAAATTTGTTGTTCTATAGTAACATTTATTAGATCCATGGGATGATTTTTTTCTTTATCAGCTATATACTATCATTTTTAAAATAATGAACATTAAGCCAACTCAGCATTCAAACTATGGTCAGATTACTCTTGTAGAATAAATTGTTGATTAAATCATAAGTTTAATTAGATTAAAGAGTGAAGTCAGTTGTTTGTTTTCTCCAGGTACTCTAAAATTCAGTCATTTGAATTTTTTTTCTGCAGAGTGAAATCAATATGATGGTTGATTAGTTGAGAAGAGTTTACCGGTTAATAGTTTAAGAAGTTTTAACCATATGGGCTTTGTTAGATCGAATCAAAGATGCATAAATTATAGGGGAGTTAATCCTCCAACCTCCCCCAAGTCTGTCCTATAATTGAAAAATTTTGAAGTCAGAAGCAAAAAATATATTTCTCTTTTAATAGTCTTTGGAGCCACTGCTGAAAACTCTAAAAGATCTCAGTGGATCTGAAACTTGTATTATATGTTGCTATGAACAACGTACAATGGGGAAAAATCCAGAAATTGAGAAAAAATATTTTGAGGTAAGTATTCTATTAGATCAATCTTCTTGGTGGATACCATTCAAGCAACCCCTGTGTGACTGTTGTACTATTTTACAGCAGTTTTTGAAAGAGGAAAACAGTAGTTAGTGTAGATCCAAGAGAGAAGTTCCTTTACCAACTCATCATTCTACAAAGGCCCCCTTTGTATTTCTCTTTGTATTTCTTCATTTCTCTCTTTTCTAATTCGGTGAAACTGTATCCACAAAACAGTATAAAATAATAATAGTGACAGTCTGTTCTGATGAAGTTTTTAATTCTTATTAGTGTGAAGCGGACTTTTGGGAACATATTAATGATAGATACATTGCTTTTGGAGAATACATGTAGGAGTGTGGAGGTGATAAGTTTTTATTTCTCTTTCTCTACATTTTTATGAAATTCTTACCTATATACCTAATTTCAGGGTCTTTTGTGGGGGGGGTACCGGGGACTGAACTCGGGTCCTTGTGCTTCCAAGGTAGGCCACCGAACCGCTGAGCTAAATCCCCAGCCCTCTTTTTTTTTTTTTTAAATAAAGATTCACAGGAAGTTGCAAAAGTTACATATAACACCTTATGTGTCTCATACCCTTGTGTGATCCAGACTTTATGTGGGCAAGAATTTATCCCATTACAAATGACTATTTTTGAGGATACATTTGTCTAGCACTGCATTTTTGTCTGTTGAAAAGACTACTTTGGTCTAATGAGAAAGCAAATATATAACTGTTGGATAACATTTTCATGTTTTTTCTTTTACTTACATATCCTGCTTTATTATAATTAATACATATTAACTGTATAAACTATAGGTTTTACTGTAACAATTTCATATGTGTATATATTGTGCTTTAATAGTACTCAACTTTTTTACCTCTGTTTCCTTCCTTTGTCTGCCCACCTTCTGGTCTCCTTTAAAAGTCCCTGTTCTGCTTTCGAAACATCTTCCATGTGAAAAGAAAACATGAGATATTTGTCTTTCCATCTGGCTTACTTTACTTAACAAGATGTACTTCATTTCTGTACATTTTCCTACTTTTTTAGACAGGGTCTCACCATGTAGTTCAGGCTGGCCCTGATCTCACAATGTAGCCCAGGCTGGCCTTGAACTCATAGCAGTCCTCCTACCTCAGTCTCCCAAGTGCTGGATTACAGGCGTGCCCCACCATGCCCAGCTTTCCTACATTTTTTTTTTCTTTTCTTTTTTGGTACCCAGGATGGAACTCAGGACCTTGTGCTTGCGAGGCAGGTGGCAGAACCACTGAGCTAAATCCCCCACTTTTTCCTACATTATTTATAGCTGAATAATACTGCGTTTTGTGTGTGTGCGCATGCACATGCACCATATTTTCTTTACCCATTCACTCATTGACTCTTGACTGTTATGAGTAGTTCCACGATAAAAATGAGTACACAGGTATTTCTTTTGGATACTTTATTTGAATATTATATACCTAGGAGTGGCATAGTTAGGTCATGTTCTAGTTTTAGTATTTGTGAGGTACCTTCTGTATTCTTAAAAAGGCTACAGTAGTCGCAGCTGCTTAACTTAGAGATCCAGATTTTGCAAACAAAAGAGTTTCTGACACCACAGTCAATGCAACAAAATTGAGTTTAATAAATTGTTAATTGACACACAAGTACCCAGAAGAAGGAGAAAGTACAGCAGGAAATGTTGCCAGATCAGAAGAGCTTCTTCACCTGAAATTCCAATTCCAACACCAGGAGTCCTGTGCAGGGAGCGTTGGGGCAGAGCATCCCCTCCATGGATGAGACTCCAGAGCCCCTACCAGTGAGGTGCCCCGTAAATAACAGTGGGGACAAAAGCGGCAGTGTCCCAACAGTGTGAGTGACCAGAGGCAGGGAGTTTGTGGCCCCCAAGAATTGGCCAAGTGCCTGAGGGAACAAACATCTGGGTCTTCTAGGTGGGCAAGAAGAGACTGACCTTGAGAGCTGGCCAGGCTTACAGGTTATTTCCGGCCATGTCAGGGTGCTCTGCCAGGAGCCCCAACAGTTGATCGTTAGAGCAAGACCATGACACTGCATTGGGAACAAGGACGACCTTTCTATACTTAATTTTAATTTAACCCTTCACCTTCACAGTTTTCCTTAGTGGCTGTACTCATTTCCCTTTCCTCTAGTGAGTAAGAGTTCCTTTTTCTCTGCATCCTTGCTGGCATTTGTTATTCTTTGGTTACCAGAGCCATTTGGGCTACATTGAGATGGAATCTCTTGATGTCGGATTTGCATTTCTTTGATGGACAAAGATATTGAGCCTTTTTTCATTTATTGACCATTTGTTGTACTTTGGGAAAAAGTGTTCATATCATGTGCCTATTTTTGATTGAATTGTTCTTTCATTGTTTTTGGGTGGGGTTTTTTTGTTGTTGCTTTTTGGTTTTAGTTCCTTATATATTCTGGTTATTAATCTACTGATAGACTTTCTCCTGCCTTGTTACTCTGGCTAAAATTTCAAATACTGTATTGAATTAAAGTGAATACCCTTGTCTTATTCCTGATTTTAGAGGAAATGCTTTCAGTTTTTCCCCACAGTATAACACTGGCTATGGATTTGTTATATGGAACTGTTTCATATTGAGGTATGGTACTTCTGTACCTATTCATAGCTTTTATCATAAAGAGATGTTGAATTTTATTCAAGGCGTTTTTTAATCTATTGAGACATTCATGTGATTTTTACTATTGATTCTGTTTATATGCTCTCTTACCGATTATTGATTTGCATATATTGAACCATCCCTGCATCATTTGTTTCTTGAATATGAAGAATGTCATTGAACTTTTGAAATGATGTGTAATTGAGATTGGGGAGGGCAGTACTAGGGATTGAACCCAGGATTTTTACACTGGGCTATATCTAAGCCCTTTTTACATTTTTAAAATTTTGAAATAGGGTCTCACTAAGTTGCTAAATTATCCAGTCTGGGCTTGGATTCTAGATTATTCTGCCTCCTCCTTCTAGAGCACTGGGATCACAGGCCTGTGCCACCACACCTGGCTTGAAGTTTTTATATTATTAATTGGTGTTCATTGAGGTAAAACATATGTAAAGAGTGCCTATATCAAGTGCTTAACTCAATTTTTTATATATATATGACCTACTCAACATAAAGACCTTACAAGCCCTCCATATTGCCCTTCCCAGTTAGTACTCCTTTGGAGGTAACCTGCGTTGTGATTTATGTCACCAAAGGTCAGTTCATATTACTGAGTTTGAAGTGTATTTCTTTTAAACTTACAGCTCCTTCAGCTAGACTTTGACTTTGAAAAAATTCCTTTGGAAAAACATGATGAAGAGTACCAAAGCGAAGATATTCACATTATATACATCAGAAAGAAAAAATCAGTAAGTATATTCCCAGTTCTTCATCCTCTGAGATTTCATCATCTGGTCACTGACTATATAGGTTTAATGTGTGGTCAGGGCTTTAATTTTCATGTGGTAAAATAGCTATGATAATATGCTTAGTATTAAATCACTTAATCTTACTTGATTTGGGTTCTTCTTCTGAAGTATACAGGCTTTTTTGTTTGTATAGTGCAGGGCCTCTCACATGCTGGGCAAGTGCTCTTCCACTCAGCTAAGCCCCCAGCCTGGCAGGCTTCTTGGTCAGTGATCCGTTCCAGCTGTAAATGATATAGCTTTGTAATTAAATGTGTTAGTAGTTACTGTAGCAATGTAATGGAGGTAGTCAGCTTAAAAAGAGGGATGGTTTGTTTTGGCTCACAATTTAGCCATGATTGGTTGGCTCCATTTTGGAGCTTGTGATACCGTACTTCCTGGCAGGATCATTTGGTGAAAGATCCCTGTTCACCTCCTGGCTGAGAACAAAAAGAGGAAGAGGCAGGATCCTACTGGAAGGCCTCCCACTAACTAGGCTTCACCTTAAGTTTCTGCCACTTCCCAGTAGTGCCTTGTGCTGGAAATGAAGCTTTTCATATGTGGGCTTCTGGGGCATGCTTACCAGCCCACACCATTGGGCACTACCCCAGACAGGTGACTGAGCTTGACGTTTCTCTTAGCTCCGTGAGACTTTAAAATGCCAGTTCTAACCTTGTGAACTTTACCCAGTCAAAGGAAAAACTTTATAACAAAGTAAAATATTGTATAACCAGGCAAATCTGTCTATAAGAAAAGTGCATTCAGTTAAAAAGAATTGATGTGTACTCCCCTTGTGTGATACTGCTTTTACGCCATACAACAATCGCATTTTATACAAGTTGTGTCTGACACCTGGTTAGGCCTTGTGGAAGGGAAGAATTAAATCTCAACCATTTTGGATGCCCAGCACCTTTGGTAAACATGACTGGTTTAAGGCAGAGATACAAGGGTTTTATGAATTAACGGTGCTAAAATTTAGTAATCCTTGTTTATTCCTGTTTGATTCATTTTGTTCAAGATGAAGTTTCCTAATTACGTGGATTGTAGTCAAAAGCAAATACAACTTATTTAAGGAATAAGAGTAAGTAGTAGGGCTAACTAAATGTGATAGGATCAGTAATTCAAATCAACTAATATTTCTGTGGCATCATGCTAGAGGTATAAAAAACTTTTATATTGTAAGGGATCTAGGTTTAGCTGAAGCTGTTGTGCAGTTTGAAAAGTAGAATGATTTTGAAAAAAAGTTTTATGTTTCTGGGTATAAAGGCCTCTTAAAAAATTGATACAGTTCTGCTGGGGATTTAGCTCAGTGGTTCTGCCACCTGCCTTGCAAGCACAAGGTCCTGAGTTCGATCCCTGGTACCCCCCCCAATTTTTTTTTTTTTTATAAAATTCAAAAACCATAAATTCACCCCCTTGAAGCATAAATTCAGTGTTTTTTTAGTAATATTCCCAGAATTACATAAACCATTATCACTTTCTAATTCTAAATGTTTTCATTTAAAAAGAAACCCCATACCAGTTAGCAGTCACCACCTAGCTCCCCTTGCCCCCCACCACCGGCAGCCATTAATCTCTGTGTGTTTGCTGCTTCTGCACGTCATATAAATGGAATGGAGTATTATGGGGTTTCTTGTCCCGCTCTCTGTCACAGTTTCCACGTTGTAGCATGCTGTGGCCTTTTACTCCGTTTTATGTTTAAATAATACTCCTTTGTGAGAATGTATATGTATCATATCCATCCATTCCCTGTGCACTTTCTGGCCATAATGAGTAATGCTGCTGAGAACATTCATGTAGACGTTCTTTCTATAAGTGTATGTTTTCTTTTTTTGTTTGTTTGTTTTGGTTTTTTGAGACAGGGTCTCACTATATAGTTGAGTCTGAACTGGAACTCTCTATGTAGCCCAGGCTCGTCTCAAACTCACAGTGATCCTCCTGCCTCAGCCTCCCGAGTGCTGGGATTACAGGCGTGCACCACCACACCCGGCTATAAGTGTATGTTTTCTGATCTCTTAGGCATATACCTAGAGTGGTATTGCTAGGTTATTCTTGTTGCTGAGACAAAAATACCTGACACCCAGAGTTAAAGGAGAAGAGCTTTATTTGGCTCACAGTTTGTAGAGATTTCAGCTCATAGTTGGCTGGCTCCCAAGGCAGGGTAGCATGGCAGAGGGGCATTGCAGAGGAGAAACCATTCATGCCAGGCAGAAGACAGCAAAAGCAAGCAAGAAGACAAAAGTGACAATAGCAGCTTCTTTCTACTTCTTATATTCTTATCTGGGCTGCCTGGATTAGGGGAGGTGCCCCAAACCATTCAGTGGGCTAATTTAGTAATTTTACACTCTTAATCCCAGCATCACATGTTCTAGAATCAGCACCTCTGGAAAAGCCCTGACCACATTGGGCTTTGGTGGGATGTCTAGACACAAGCCATAATATAGGAGCTTTGGGTTTAACTTTTTAAGGAATGTGTTCCAGATCTATTACTATATACCAGTGATGGCAAGCCTTTTAGAGCTTTCAGTGATAATGATCAGCTGGCTGCAGCCTTCGTGCCATAGGGATTCACCATCACTGATCTGTACCATTTTACACTTCCCACAGTAGCTTGTGAGGGTTCCAGTGTCTCCACAGCCTAAGTAAGCAACATGTGCTGTAGTCTATCATTTTGACTATAGCTATCTTAGTGAGCGTGAAACAGTCTCATTGTGGTTTTTAGTGTCATTTTCTTAATAACAAATGATGTTGCATATCTTGTGTCTAGAGAAATATTTTGCCCATTTTCAAATTGAATTACTTGTCTTTTTACTGTTTTAAGAGTTCTTTCCACACCTTGGATACTAGACACCAGATATGATTTGCAAATGCATTTGTTTTGTGGATTGTCTTTCTATTTTTTGATGATATATCTTGGGTAGCACAAAAGTTTATAATGTTGGTAACATCTGATGCATCTATTTTTCCTTGGCTGCTTGTGCTTTGGGTGTCTGATAAGAGCCATCTGTAAACACATTGGACAGTGTTCACTTGAATTGTGTTTAGCCACCCACTACTGGACATACCACCTAGAATTAAGTACCCAGTAAGTATTAGTTGGAGAGGAGAAATGAATTTTTGTGTCCATTGTTTTCTTATAGACATTGCCATCGTGAAAACTTTAGCTGTCTTACCCAAGCCTTTGCCAACATGGGTAAGCTAAAGATGGGAATGCAGCATGGGAAGATTGTTCACAGACTTTGCAGCATGTTCTTAGAGATCCAGTACATGGGTGACAACCACCATGGGCTGCCTGCAATGTGAAAAATACTGCCTGCCTGCCTGCCAATGGGCCTGAAATCCAACTTAGGTTTACGTAGCTCGCCATCACGTTCTGCTTAAAAGGAACATTGACAATCTGTCACTCAGAATTGGTATTTAGTTTAGCCTGAAGTTTACCAATAGCGAAGCAGCATGGTTGACTCAACTCAATTCCAAGCGGCTGGCGATAAATTGATCCAATTTCTGAAGACACATCTCTCTTGCTATACAATAATGTTTTAAATGCAAACCAGTATATTTTAGTTTATCTTCAAGATACATAAATTTAAAAGGCTCACTTTATATAATTATGAGTTTTATCTTCTGCTTCATATAATATCTTTAATACCTGAATGTTCTTAAAAAATTGAGACTGTTGTCTTGTGTCTTATATCAGCCAAAGTTTTATTCTTGTCCTCTACCAGATGTATGATTGGTTCGAATAGTAAATGATAAATAGTTACTAAGAAAGTGAATCAAGAGATTGGGGTAACAAGAGGTACTGTTGCTTTGCCTGATCTTCACTTGGGAATGGAGTGAGAATAGAATGCCCAGTTTGAGGCGGTGCACTTCGTGGCCCATGCAGTTTTCCTGTGTATATATATTCCAGGGAAGTCTGGTTTAAAAGCACTAGTGTTGACTTATTTACCTGAAGTAGTGAAAGAATGTTCAGTGACTACAGATGTGGTTCCATACTCACTCACCCAATGATTTTTCTTCCATGTTGTCTTGTTATAATAATTGTCTGTCCATGTAGACTAATTTTCAAGGACTTTTCATCATATCAGTTCCAAAGAGTAGGAACCAGATGGGATTGTGGTGTTTACAGGCATTTGGTGCTAGGTGGCCACATTTTATGTGTTAAAATAAACATTGTTTTTGAGACCTTGTGACTTTGTGAATCTTTATAGCTTTGAAGAAAATAAACATTCTAAAGCAAATAAGTGCTTTTCAGAAGGAGGAAAAGCAGCCCTGTTCAGAGACTTGGAGGATCAAAATCAAGAAAACTGTCTCTTCCTTTCAGGCTCAATTAAATCCTTACAGTTTGCTCTGCTGCTCTGTCACAAAAAGTTTGTTCATATTGCCTTAGTGTTTCATTTACACAGTGTAACTGAAATGTGTAAAGCTTTGGTAGTTACAGTTACAGCACTAGCTATTATGAGTGAGATCTAAGGACCAATGACCAGTTTCTGGCTGGTTCCATGACACTTGATTAAAAAAAAAGTTTTGTCATTAACTGTAGTAGTCCCCCAGATTCCTCACCTCCTTTCCCCTCCTCTCCCTTTCACGTAACATCAGTGCTGTAGGTTTCAGCCCCTAGGTGTACTGTTGGCAAGCCCAGCTTCTTTACCCAGACAGGTGTGATTTGCAGTCCATAGCTGCCTGGGGACTCAGGCTGATGTCAGTCTCACAGCCTTGCTTGCCCTTTCCCTTCGCTGCCCTGCTAGCCCCAATCCTTTACCCATCACTTCATTTGCACATCTTCATCTCGCCCTGCTTCTGGGGAACCGACCTAAAGTACTGATTTACTGTGCCAGGAAGTCCTATGTAACAGCTGGGAGAGATCTTTCTCCCCTCTTTAGAGTAACTGACACTAAGATCAGAGGACACTGCAGGGCCTGCTGAATGAGGCGAGCCAACTCAGGAATATGCTCTCACCACCC